AAGTAACCAATGTAAATCCGCCCTAGCTAAAGGACTTAATTTCTCTCTTCCTCCGCGAAAACTGAATTATGCCAATTTTCTTTATCCATTCTAACTGCTATACAGACCTTCCCATGTACGATAAATGCAATCTTAATCAATCCCATGATTTTTTTATTACTAAATTAAAAAATCTTGCTCTATCTACATTTTATAATTTTATTAGTAAGAGATAACCTAACCCTCTAACCCCTGACGAAATCTTAGCCTTAAAAGAATTGTCACTAAATAAAACATCCATGTTACACGCCCTGATAAAGGCAATGCCATTGTTATTCTGAACAAAAATGACTACCTTAATAAAACGCATGATATTCTGGACGATTCTACAAAACTTAAAACCTTAAACAATGACCCTTTATCTGTTAGCATCCAACTTGAGGAAAAAATCCAAAGATACATAAGAGAACTAAAGAACAAAAATATTATATCTGAAAATGTTGCTTCTTCGCTTTATCCCACTGGCTCCCGTCCTGGTATGTTATATGGCCTTCCAAAAATTCATAAAACAGGTTTCCCCCTCCGACCCATTCTTTCCACTATAGGCACACCTAGTTATAAACTTGCTAAATTCCTTGTACCTATACTTCAACCACTCACTACTAATGAGAAACTATCTCGGATTCCTTCCACTTTGAACGTGAACTAAGTCAACTACCCCCTCAGATAATCTCTTCATGGCAAGCGTTGATGTTACCTCCCTCTTTACAAATATTCCCTTAAATGAAACTATCAACATATGCATATCTGAGCTTTCGCGTAATAACATTCCTCTAAATGGCTTTTCTGAAAATCAAATTAAGACCATGCTGGATCTTGCCACTAAGAATTCACATTTCCTCTTCAACAACACCTTGTGTGAACAAATAGATGGCATTGTGATGGGCTCCCCACCTGTCCATTTAACTGTAGGCCTGTTCTGTACAGAAGGTATGTGGATGACACTTTTATTCTTTTTAATAACAGTGACCAATGCTCAAAATTTTTAGAATACCTTAACTCACAACATCCTGCCATTAAATTCACATGTGACGTAGAAAATGATAATAATTTACCTTTTTTAGACATGCTCATTAACCGTAATGCTAATGGATTTTCCACATCAATTTACCAAAAAAAGACGTCCACTGGCCTTCTTACACACTTTAATAGCTTTATCCCGTTTACGTATAAACGAAACCTTGTTACACGCTTACTAAACAGAGCTTACAACCTGTGCTCCACATATCTTAATCTACACTCTGAAATTTCGTTCTTACATGACATCCTGAAACGCAACTGCTATCCATAACACTTATTAGAAAACATTACCAACACCTTCCTAACAAAGAAACTCACAAATCCAATTAAGATACCAACTGTACCTAAACTTACTATATACTCGTGTCTTCCTTATACTGGCAAATAAAGCTTAAATTTAAAAAAATCAGCTTAAACGCATTCTTGGTCGTTACTACCCTCAAGTGGATTTAAGATTAGTTTTTAAATCCACATCATGCATAAAAAATTTCTTCCCTACTAAAGATCTCTTCCCCATTCCTTATTGTTCTTGGCTTGTCTATCTTTACACGTTTGGAGACTGTAAGGCCTCCTATATTGGCAAAACCAAACGCCATTTAAAAGTCAGAGCCTATGAACATATGGGAATTTCCATCAAAACGCAAAAACAAAATTGAATAATCCCTGTGTTTCCTCTATACGCCAACATGGTGAAGAAACAGGACATCAACCTATACTATCAACTTTCTCTATCCTCTGAAAGTCTAATACTGACCTGGAATTATTGATCAAAGAAACCCTCCACATCAAACAGCACTCCCCAACACTGAACAACGTGCAGTCTTCATTTAAGTTACACATTTTTTAATATGCTCGTATTACTGATTTTACCTTTTTTTTCGTTGTGTTTTCTTGCTGTA